TAGAGGTAAAAGAAAACAAATTTTATAATTGAATAGGTATCAAAACAGAATGTGATGTTCATCACAAACATCCCACTAAGGGAATGCAAAGACAGGAATAAATATCATTATTTTGTATAGTGAAGCAGATTGAATCCATTACATTTGTGTTCTCAGGATAAACAATAACTAGTGCTCAAGTAAGAGGTCCCCGGCAGCACCATTTAACACACAAAGGTCATTCTACAATCAGCTAGTCATTGAAGTGGCCATCTGTGTTTGTTAATTGGCTACTTCAAAATTAATAAATAAATATTTTTGCTTAGAATTGACTTGGCTATGCGGGCTCTTTTTTGGTTCCATATGAAGTTTAAGGTGGTTTTTTCCAGTTCTGTGAAGAAGGTCATTGGTAGCTTGATGGAGATAGTGTTGAATCTGTAAATTACTTTGGGCAGTATGGCCATTTTCACGATATTGATTCTTCCTAACCATGAACATGGAATGTTTCTCCATCTGTTTGTGTCCTCTCTTATTTCGTTGAGCAGTGGCTTGTAGTTCTCCTTGAAGAGGTCCTTTACGTTCCTTGTTAGTTGTATTCCTGGGTATTTTATTCTCTTTGTGGCAATTGTGAATGGCAGTTCGTTCTTGATGTGGCTCTCTTTAAGTCTGGAACCAACCCAAATGCCCATTGATGATAGACTGGATAGGGAAAATGTGGCACATATACACCATGGAATATTATGCAGCCATCAAAAACGATGAGTTTGTGTCCTTTGTAGGAACATGGATAAACCTGGAAACCATCATTCTCAGCAAACTGACACAAGAGCAGAAGATCAAACACTGCATGTCCTCACTCATAGGCGGGTGTTGAACAATGAGAACACATGGACACAGGTAGCCTAGCACTACACACTGGGGTCTTTTGTGGGGAAATGGGGGAGGGACGAGGGAGTGGGGAGGTGGGGAGAGATAGCATGGGGAGAAATGCCAGATATAGGTGAAGGGGAGGAAGGCAGCAAATCACACTGCCATGTATGCACCTATGCAACAATCCTGCATGTTCTTCACATGTACCCCAAAACTTAAAATGCAATAAAATTAAATAAATGGAAAAAATAAAAATAAATAAATCAACTTTTCACATCATTCTGATGAGAGAGACCACTTGGAGTAAAGCACCCATTGAGTTAGGGTCCTTCCTTCACAAAAAACCTGGGGGATAGGGGTTCTCTATCTTTCTCGAGTGTTGCATTTCAAAGAGAAGTTTCCCAAGACCAGGATAAAGACATTCCTGGCTTTTAAACCTAACAAAAAGCTTATTTAACTTTTAAAAAGATTTCCATACACTTCAAAAAGATAGAAAAAGAACTTAAAACTATAAGTATTATAAAATAAATGCTATAAGAAAGGGGAGAGTCTCTTCTCTTATTTTAAATATAAATAATTCTCTTATTTTTAATTTGTTTGATTTTATATTCCACGTAGAATATAAAATCTATATAGTGTATCTATATAGTGATTATGTTTTTGATACATTCTATGAAATAATACCATATTATAAAAAGCTCATTTTAGGCCACTTTTCGCACAGGCATTTTTTTTTTTTTTTGGAAATACATTATCCAATTTTACTAATAACTACTACTGGTTTTTAGTTAACCACTAGCAACTTTAATAACTGTTCAAAACTCGGTGATAGTGGGGAGAAAGAGGTGTCATGCAGCGTATCACTGGATATTGCTTTCAGTAGGCAAATGGAAGCATCATAATGAATCTGCCCCTTTATTATTAAATAACATGCTTTCCTTCGAGACCCGTTAGGCTATTATACTATTTCGATGATCTGATTTCCTTATCATCTCCTTGGACACCTTGTAGTCTGTTCACATATGTATATATGCATAAGCATTCAGTAATTACTAATGACGTTCAGTATCTTTTCATTCATTTCCCAGAAAGGAGGAGGGTACATTGAGCTTGGCTTATCAAGCCCAAACATGATAGACATTCATACTATTTTTGAAGTGAATAGTTGTTTGTTTTAAATGTATAATTCAGTTACTTTCCAAAGTTAAGCCTGCAGTGATATGTTTACTATCATAATTAAATTATTGACTCTACTAAAAATTTTAGATTTTAATTAAATCTTCAGGAAAGTTATGATACAGAACTTCAGCTTTAAAAGATATATTGGTTACACTTTAAAGATTGAATGAAATCTTCATCTATATGTGTGGTGTGTGTGTGAAATTAATGTCTGTATATACATATATGAAAAATTACCTATGTATATGTTAAAAATTATATATATGTATAACTATTATCTTATCAGTAGGTTATCAATGTCCCTTTGATACTCCCCATTTATTCAATACAGAAGTTTATTACTTTGCAAAAGAGACAATGTATTTGAGGCATTACTTTTTATAATTGTTGCTATGTCCTTTAAACTTTGAAACAGTAACTACTATTGATTAAATTTCCTGATTTCTAATTTTAGATTACACATAACATTGAGATAAATATCAGATAATTTGTAGCCCCATTGCCTAGAGTCCTAGTTCCAATAATTAGCTGTATGACCTTGAGCAAGTTAAACCCTGTCTCAGCTTCCTCATCTCTAAAATGAGTATAAAAATTATAATTTCCTCATAGGCAGTTGCAAGCGTTCCATAGGTTAATACACACATAGGAGGGAAAAGTGTAACTACTGAAGGGATTGTGGGGCATGATCCTAACCTCTATGTCTAAAGTTCTTTTCCCTTTTTTAAAAAATAAAAATTAAAAATTAAAACACGCAAATCTCTTGTAATTGGTAATCACACGTTCTTTAATTCTAACTGGCTACGGATTAGAATTGTATTGTCTTCATTTCAAAGACAATACAAAACAAATATTTTTATTGCATATCATGGCTGAAAGTATCTCATAAATTGCAGATATATTGACTGCATACAAAATATAACAAAATTTCACTCAGTTATCAAGTTATAATTTCCTGTATTTTTTATTTAAATTTGTAGTTTTATGACATTTGACTCAAAATACTTTATTTATATGAATTCTTATGCATGCCCCCAATATCTAAGAGAGATAGAAGAACCCATTCACCACTTTCAGCCTGTCTTACCAGCAGAGACTGTCTTTCATGAAGTTCTACAGAACTCATTTTTCTAACAGAATTTAAGCCTGCATTTTTTGGTCACCATCCAGTGCAATAGATCACACTAAAGCTCATTACTCCAGTATAAATGAAACATTATATCTTTGTTTAATATCTCTTATTTTCCCATTCATATATACCATTATTTGTCAAATAAAATTAATTATTAATTAATTAAAACAATAAAAGTAAAATGCACAAAAATGTGCTTTGTATAAAGTGAAATAATTACTTATTTTTCATAAATGCAAAACCCTTTTGATAATTGCAACAACCAAAAATCGCCATTGGTTTTATAGTTAAGAGTCTTATCAATAATATAAAACAATATTATTTAGAATTACAAATGCATGAAGTCAAGCAGTAAGAGACATCATGTTTTTCTGGAATACAGCAAAGCAGAGGAAGTGCACCATAACCTAAGAAATCAGAATTCTAAAGCTAGGATTTTACCAGGATTTGTTTTCTTATATTAAATAAATGAAGCAAACTCCATAAATTCAGTGACATTTGTTTTAAATAACAAACAGTTCTTCTTAGATCTCAGCAAAAAATATTTTTAATTTAGTGTATTCAATTCCCAAAACAACCCTTAAAAATATATTTTTTAAAGAAAAATGTTGCAGATAGGCTCAGATTCACAGATTGATGTGTTGTGTATTATTTTTCTGTACTGTGTCTAGTATTTCCCAGGATCTCTGTTCAGAGTTCTGAGTACCTATTAAGTCAGCAAACTATGACCTTTCTACTGCTCTCTTGTTTTTCTTGCCCAATTTATATGCCTATTTGTGACTTTTATTCTAGTCCTCTCTCCAAAGTTTCAACCTAACACTCAAACCCATTAAAGCCCTCTGTTTTCAGGGGATACACTCTGTAATCCTTACTTCTTATTTGTTATCATAACCCAATCCAACTTAAATACAAGTGTCCTATGACATAGTCTGTCCATTTCAGAAATGTTTTGACTATGTCTCCCTCACAAGAACAAGTCTCTATTAGCTTAGGGACGTTGGGCATAGCTGAAATCTGTTTGTCACACTTATTAAATATTATCATGTAAACTTCTAATGGGTAACAGCAGTTGATTTCTGTATTTCTGTCTCCTTTATACCAGATTTTCTCTTTCAACTAAGGCCTGTGTCCTTAAAGCCTTACTAGTCTTCACCATAATCTAAGGTTTAATATAAAGTCATCTACCATGAATTTATTATGAAGATATATGAAGTCATTTTGTTAATATTAAATGGTACATAATAAAATTTCATTTGGTTTTATATAAAATTTCTAAAAAATAAATTCAAATATACTTCACAAATAAAGAGAAACGTAAAATCTATAGGATGTTTTTCTCATAAATCAGCAAAACAGTGTTATTGACTGTCTTATAGCAGCAACAGATAAGATATCCATGTCATAATCAAAAATGTCCTATTCATTTAACCTTCAAGTGACATTACCCTTTTGGCAGAAGAGAGTTTCGGGTAGAGCTTCAGGGTCTGAAAATAATTGCTAACCACTGGATAGATTAAGCATATATACAGGATGGCAGACAATGACTGAATCTCACACATCAGATGTTTGCAGTCACACTATACACATGAATGATTTTGCATCACATGTACATCGATAGTAACTGTAATTTTCTAATACAAAGGACATAGGCATAAGATAAACTCAATTTTTTTCCCCTTGCATCTTGGGTAGAGATAGAAAATTCCTTAATATTAATGCTAATTTTTAACAACTTCTAGCATTGTAAAATGACTCATATCAGACTAGAGTAACAGCACAAGGAACAATGAACCAGAAAACAAACTGGTCATGGTTTTGTTATTGCCTTTTAGGCCAAACTCACCTTCCCTTAAGCAGTTGCCCAGTGCTCAGTGAACTGATTTTAAAAATGCTCATCATCTTCTTTTTCCAATCTTGAAGAATCTGGAATAGACAGCATCTTCAAGGGTGAGCAAGGTTTTAATAGATTTTAAATTGTTCCCAGAATTCAAGAAACAGTTTTTCATTTCTTTTGCATGTTCTGACACCCAAAGTATTTATAAAACACATTGTATGCGAGTGTGTGTGTGTGTGTGTGTGTGTGTGTGTGTGTGTGTGTGTGTGTGTGTCTGCTGGGACAGAGGGGTGTTAATATGAAATATATGGTAAGGCAAAATGATCAATCCAACAGCTCACTTTATATCACAGTGTGTGACTTAGTGGCTTGGTTTAAGATAATATCTTCCGACCTGTTAAATCCTGTAAGACAATACATTTTAAAAAGTTACAACACAATGTAAATATAATTCAATAAACCTTGGTTTGTTAACATTCATTGAGTATTCAATTACCTAAATAGTCTTTGGAGTAACTTTTTAGAATACTAGATTTTAGTCTTTTTGTTTTAACTGTTTTGGTTATTTAAAGACCAGTGATCTGAAAATAGATTATTTTATTTATGAACAAACGAGACTTGAAGTATGAATTGGAATGTCAGAGGCATACAAACATTAAACTGCCTAGGGTTTTGGCCAGGTGTCTATTCAGATTATATAATCACTAAACTTGGTAAATAGAGAATGAAATGGTGGAGGCTGTGAAGGATCACTTGCTCTAAATCTAAGACCACTATCAAACAAAAGAACTTGTATACCTCATAAATGTTGTACCAAAACTTTCTTGACCTGGGATTTTCAGAGGTTAGTTAGATACAGGATCTTGAGAAAGAAAGTGAAATTATGAATTTGGAAAACCTCAAAGTACAACCAAGAAAACTTGGGAATAATAAATAATCAGAGTTATTGAGCTAACAGAACAGTGTTAAACATACCGCAGATTTGCACATATAGGTATAGATGCCTGAAATATCCTTATTTCCAAGAAAAGAAATAACCAGTAGTAGGGATAGTATTAGTAGGAACACTCTCTATTTCTTTTCTCACTGGCTATCTGTATGATCATGGGCAAATCACTTATTTGGACCTCATTTATTTTATGCATGTTTTAACATTTAAAAAAATCAAAGAATAGTAATACTTGAATGGAAAGATTTCTAAGAACAGACAGCAAAATAGCATTTTTAAAATATATAATACTACCACACAAAATTAAAAATGTCAAAAATTAGGTGGATTTTGGTTCAATATAAAATGTAAAATATTCAGCTAGTTATTGGTTCATACTAATAAAAGATAGCTCATGACAGAATTATCTTTTTTCTCATTTGGAATTAAATTTCCACAGCTTTGGTTACACAAATGCACTAAACTTCTCTTTGCAGAATTTGCATATTATTCAACACATATTTTAATGCTTAACACCACATCTTGGTCAAAATTGGAGACAAAATATTTAAGACAAATGATAGTGCCAGAAGCACACACAACAGCTGACAAAAGAAAAATGATAACTACTGTTTCTAATTGCCTGTGAAAAACCAGAAGTGTTCAAGTTCATAAGTCAATTTTTCTTTCTGAAACATTGTCAACAGTTTGCAAAATTAAATTTGGAATATTCTTATTTGCATTAGTAATAGAGAAACATTCCTTTATTTGGAAAAAGGTTTAATGTGTTTTATCTGGGGACTGATTTATCAACAAGCCTTAGAGTCATTATACATAATTGTGCTTAAACTAAATACATTGAATAACTACAGCACAGTGCTACATTTTATCAGACACAAATATAAAATGTATTAAACTAGAGATGTAAACATGAAGAATTCTGAGAAACATAATAATGATTATATGTAAACATCTGTGACACAGTGTAGGAAAATGAGCAGTTAATATTGTATTTAGTAGATAATGAGGATAATATGGCAGAATGGATTGGCTGAGAAAAGAACAGAGTTGGTAAGAATTGAAACATTATATTAAAAAGTAGAAAATAGTGTAATTATGGTGGATCTTTCATATGAGAGTATTGATTAGGTGGTCTTTCATAAAAATATCTGTAAGAAAATGCATCAGATTTGTCAAATGTATTAGTTTTCTGTAGCTGCAGCAACAGATTACCACAACTTCGATGGTTTAAAACAACGGAAATTTGTTCTCTCACAGTTCTGGACACCAGAACTTCAAAATCACATACCAGCAAAATTGGTCCCATCTAGAGAACTATGAAGGATTGTCCGTCCCATATTTCTTTTCTGGCTTCTAGGAGTTACCAGTTACTCTTGTGCTTCTTTGTCTTATAGATTCATAAGAGTGAGCTATGGCTCCAACCACTTGCAGAAATCTTCTCTCGGTGTCTCTGTCTCATCTCCTCTTTTAATAACAATAGCAGTCATATTGGATTAAGTGTTTACTCTAGGCCAGCATTGTTTCATATTAACTAATTATAATTGCAATGACTCTGTCTTCAAATAAGGTCATATTTAGAAATCCTGGTGGCTAGGACTTTATTGCAAGTTTTGAAGGGGGGAAATTTTACCTATAATAGAAAGTAAACATTTCATTTAATAGGATTGAATAATATCAATATTAGCTTGAAGTTTACAGGAACTCATTAAATGTGCAGATTAGAAGAAAAGCAATTTTGAAAGTGGAACTTTGGGATTATTTAATTGCTTAGGAGAATTCTAAAAGAATACAAATATGAGATAATTAAAACATAAATATAATGGTAATGGAAAGAACACATTGATCCTGATTCTTGTTAAATAAAGATATATCCTAAAGATATGGCTGTAAAACAAATAAAAATACCAAGAAACTATGGAAAAATAGAAAAATAAAAGCATAACATAAAAAAACGTACCTTTACATCTATCAGTGATATGGGAAATAATTTAAAAATTCTCAGAGGCCAAAAGGAAAATTAAGAGAGACAAAGATTTTAAAAAGTCATGTGTCAAATTATATTGGCTTTACCCTTCAATTTTTGCCACCGTGTAGCAGAAGACAAAGTGTAGAAACTGATTTTGTGGGAAATCTGATAGAAAACTCAACAAACAAAGCTGACAACTGTAAAGGCTATCTTCTTAGTATGACTGTGAACTAAAGAATAATCCACCCGCAAAAGGGGGCAGCAAGAAATGTTCTTCTCTGCAACTTTACATTGTGTACCAGAGAAAACATCTTTGTTAAGAATTCAAAATCAAAAATCTCACCTCAGGCCGGGCGCGGTGGCTCAAGCCTGTAGTCCCAGCACTTTGGGAGGCCGAGGCGGGTGGATCACGAGGTCAAGAGATCGAGACCATCCTGGTCAATACGGTGAAACCCCGTCTCTACTAAAACTACAAAAAATTAGCTGGGCATGGTGGCCCGTGCCTGTAATCCCAGCTACTCAGGAGGCTGAGGCAGGAGAATTGCCTGAACCCGGGAGGCGGAGGTTGCGGTGAGCCGAGATCGCGCCATTGCACTCCAGCCTGGGTAACAAGAGCGAAACTCCGTCTCAAAAAAAAAAAAAATTAAATTAAAAAAAAAAAAAAAATCTCACCTCAACATGCGACCTGAATTCAGAGTTCTTATATATATCTGGAAAACTCTAAGGAATGTATTAATGTCATTGTAAAATATAGTGTCACCAAGCAAATAGGAAAACAAAATGTAAATTATTTTGAATAGAACACTGTCTTCAAACAAGACCTCAAATATTATTATAAATGAAAATTCTAAGGAACATGAGCTAACAAAGATTATATATGCAAGAAACAAAAGCATAATCAGCAAGACCAAAAGGATACAAGACAGTATAGTCATACCCAAATGAATATAACAATTAATAGTAAGAGTACAACAAATCAGTATGTGCAATATAACTGACCAAATAAAATAGTAAGTAGAAATTGAGAAAGAAAAAAGACACATAAAATTGTCAAGCACATATGAATAACAACTAAACAGATTAAAGGAGGGAAAAAAAGTGGTTTCATATGATGAATACATGGACAATTGCCTAGTTAATTAGATGTGGCTAGAAAAAAGAATGAAAGGTAAATAAAAAGATATTACTGTGGTATATCTAAAAGAAATATTAAGAATACACAGAAAAATCTAGAAGATTTACCACTTGGCTAATAAGAGAAATAAGAGGAAAGCAGAGAGAAAATGGTGCAGAGCCCATGCTTAAAGTGATAATGATGGACAAAACTTGGTGAAAGACTTACATTTTCAAATTTGAGAATCTCAATAACTCTCAAACATTGTAAATAAGAAAGGCTTACCCTAAACACGCCAAAGTGAAACAGCAAAACAGCAAAGAACAAAAGAAGATTTTAATGGCAGCCAGGGAAAAAAAATTATATTTATTTCAAAGGAGTGACTTTAAACCAACAGCTAAATTTTTGGTAGCCATATTGGAAAGCACAACATGGTGTATGAATAATTTTTGATGCATTTGTTACTAAGAGAATCTCCAGAAGGAAGATATGGATATGTCTCACAAACAAGAAAAGATTCCAGATAGATTGCCTAGTATACACGAACAAAAGTTAAGCTAAGAGATAAATAACTAAGCAGGTAAAACTATAATATGGAGAAATGATTCTCTATTTAATAAATGGTGCTGGGAAAACTGGCTAGCCATATGCAGAAAGATGAAACTGGATCCCTTCCCTACACCTTATACAAAAATTAACTCCAGATAAAGATTTAAACATTAGGTCTAACACCATAAAAACTCTAGAAGAAAACCTAGGGAATACTATTCAGGACATAGACGTGGGCAAGGATTTCATGACTAAAACACCAAAAGCAATGGCAAGAAAAGCCAAAATAGACAAATGGGATCTAATTAAACTAAAGAGCTTCTGCAAAGCAACAGAAACTATCTATAGAGTGAACCAACAACCAACAGAATGGGAAAAGATATTTGCAATCTATCCATCTGACAAAGGGCTAATATCCAGAATCTATAAAGATCTTAAACAAATTTACAAGAAAAAAAAAAAAAAACCAACAAAAGGTGGACAAAGGATATGAAGAGACACTATTCAAAAGCAGACATTTATACAGTCAATAAACATATGAAAAAAATGCTCATCATCACTGATCATTAGAGAAATGCAAATCAAAACCACATTGAGATACCACCTCATGCAAGTTAGAATGGCAATCATTAAAAAATCAAGAGACAACAGATGCTGGAGAGGATGTGGAGAAATAGGAACACTTTTACACTGTGAAGTGAAGTACTCATAAATGGAGGGAGCACAGCTCAGTAAATTCGTTGTAGTTAGCTGGACATCCTGCAAAATGTTCTGGACTCAGAATAAGAACTTGCTCTGTAATCAACAGGTATTTGTGTTCAGACAATTGTTTCTCTTAGACTCCATGGTTTCTTCTAAAAAATAAGAATTTCGCTACTTTACTTCACTAGGTTATTAGGAAGATGTAATGAGATTACATGCTTAAATGTGCAGAGAAATTGTAAATCAATGGAATAATTTATTTTTTAACTTTATTGCTGAAACTATTTTGGAGTCCCAAATAAAGCTTGATGTGTGTTTTTCCATAGGTTCTAATATTCAAATGTTGCAGTTTTCAGAAAATTTTATTAAGTGCTAATTTTGTTTATTAGTTGTATTTATTGTGGCTTGTAATTAAGGGCATTTTAGCTAACTCATAACATAAATAAATTTATATATAAATGCATTATTATTGAAATAGATAAAAAACTATACTAATAATAATGAAAATAGTAATACTATTTTGTAGGATTAAATAAAACTGTAGAGATTTAATATCTAAACAACAGCAAAATTTGATATGCAAATGTGATTTAAATTATTGATTTCATTTCTTTTCTCAGAAGAATATTAAGGCTATTTAATAAATTTAAATCCTTTAAATTATACATGTGGAAATGCTGATGGTAAACAAAATAAAAAATAGTGTGTTTAATATCTAAATTAGAGAAAGAAGGTAGAAAAAAAGCAAAATAATATCAAACAAACCAAAATTATTACAATGGAAATAAAAATAATAGAAAGCAAAATAAAATTTTAAGAGAAAGAAAGTTGTAGAATTCATAATACATACATGGTGATTTAATTTATATACAATCCTGAATGCAAAGCAAAGTATGAAAAAAAGGAATGCATGTATATATTGCAAAACCACATAAAAAAGAAAGGAGTGGTTAACATAAAATTGGGGTGACATTTTTCTCCTGAACAGAGAAAGGGAAATAAGATTGGAAAGAAGGCACACACGGGATCTATCATTGAAAATTAGGAATTTGTATTACCCATGTTTCAAAGAAGATATACAATTACATGTTTTATTATTTGTGTTTAAAATTAAAAAAAATAATTTTGTGTATAATCAAAAAATTATACAATATTTTAAAAGGAAATAAAAGATTGTAAAATTTTACTAAATTTAGAGAGATACCATTGCCAAAACTGGAAACTTGTTACAAGATTTGTTCATATGCTAGCATTCCCAAACTGCAAGTTTTGTCCTTCAGTGTCACTTTCTGGTTGTTATAATTGTTTCTAGACAGAAAGTTGAGGTTTGATGCAGCAAGCTTGTCCTCCTCTGAAATTGCTTTGCACAGCCTACCAAGAGATCTAATTTTCAGGTGTAGTGAACTCATCATGGAAGCATATATGTATGCATATATATATTCAAATGTATAAATATATATTTCTAATCAAATTAGATAAACACATTGTGTTTAATGAAAACATTTTTTAGTATGCTTTATGGTTCTTAGAAATTATAGATTTGTCCCCCTAATCTTTTTCAGAGTCAAAAGTAATATCTTATTAGTGTCTCTTGAAAAATAGTAAGAGACATTGCCATCATTCTTAATCTTTAACATGTTCTATTTAATCTCATTCAATATTATAACTTTATTCAGCCCTTGTAAAATTTGGTATAGTTGAAATGAGGGAGATATACACTGAAGGATATGTTTTCAGAAGAAACTATGAAAAAATATATATGTGTTCTATTCACTGATACATACATATTAATATTAAACGTATGTAAAAAGAAAACTGCATAAAATAAAGAAGCAAACATATTAGCTATGAAGTGAATTGAATTACTGCAACTAGTATTCAGTTTGACTGATTTTCCTCGAGTAAAAATCTATAGTAAAAAAATTGATCTGACAGATCAATTTCACAGCTCAATATCAAGGAGAAGCATTCCAGTTATCCAAGGATAAACTTTAATTTTTATGGTTCTTTAAAATTTCTTTATACAAATATTAAAAAATATGTATCTTTAAAAGTTTGGATAAATATACAAGTAAGATACTAT